AAGACCAACTGTCCTGGCTCTTAACTCTTACCCTCCCCACAAAAAGCTCCCAGTTTTATTCATTCAGTCAACAAATATTTATTATGCCCTTACGAGTGATGATAACATATGTCAAAGGCACTTAAAACATGCATTACTTTTGAGATGTTATTTTATTTCTATGAATTTTTAATAGGAAACAGTCATGGATTTGGTTATAAGGACATTTAGTTGCAATGTAAAAGATTTTAAAAGTTAAAGTGAAAAAAAAAGCATACCGATAAAACAGAATACTATACAATATATAGCATTATTAAATGAAAATGGCATATTGCCCATAATACTATATGAATATATGAGCATTATGTTATGAATGTAATATATCTTATTTCTTAGAAGAGTTTTAGGTTCACAGCAAAATTGAGAAGAAAATACAGAGAGCTCCTATGTACCCCTCTGCTCCCACACAGCAACCCCAGTATCAACATCCAGAACCACAGTGGTACACTTGTGAAAGTTTATGAAACTACATGTCATATCACCATCTCCCAAAGTCCATAGTGTTCATTAGGGTTCACTCTTGGTGTTATATGGCCTATGAATTTTAAACAATATATTTTAAAATGACATGTGTCCACCATTGTAGGGTTTCCCTGACGGCTCAGACGGTAAAGAATCTGCCTGCAATGCTGAATCCCTGGGTCTTCGGTCCTTCTCCTTTGTGATTTGCTGACTATCATTAGTGTTATGTTTGGATTCCTTTCTCTCTTTTGTGTGTGTATCCGTGGTAGATGCTTTTTTCTGTGTTTACCATGTGGTTTATATATAGTAATATATATATATAAGTACGCATGTATATAGATGAATTATTGTAAGTTGCTGATCTCTTAAACTCAAATGCATTTTAACATTCCTAAACTTTTACTCCCCTCTTCACATTTGCTGTTTTCGATCTCTTATTTTACATTTATTTGTTTAGTGTATCCTTTAAGTACTTACTGTGGATATAGATGGTTTTACTACTTTTGTCTTTTAACCTTACTATGAGCTTTATAAGTGGAGTCATCTCGGGAGCCCTGAGCTCCAGTCTCTACCTCCTGAATTCAGCAAGACTGAATCTTCCTATGCCACAGTCTTTGAAGTGCCTCCAGGCAGACACCTGGTGATTGTGGGATAATCTCATTTCACCCTCTTCACTTAGGGACAGTTACTTTTGTCCAACATCTGAAAATAGTAATTAATATATTTCACTTTGTTTGTAATGAAAGAGCTAATTTGATACTAATTACTTCATCATGGCTGAAGTGTTTTTAGTTTTTAATCATAAATGTGTTTCAAATTTTATTGAATGCATTTTTTCATCTATCAAGACTATCTTGTCCTTTTCTTCAATTTGTTATGGTGGTGAATTACTTTAATAACTTTTCTAATGATATAACATCCTCATATGCCAAGGACAAACCCAACTTAATAATAATAATTTTTTAATACTTGCTAGGTTTGTTTTGGCAATGGTTTGTTTAAGATATTTGCACCTAAATTCAAGAATTCGAACAGTCTGTATGTTTTCTTTCTCATGCTGTCTTGGATTTTGTATCAAGATTTTGCTAATCTTTTAAAAGATATAGGCATTGTGTTAGTTTCTTATTGCTGCTTAATAATTTGCTACTATCTCTGTGCCTTAAAATGACATAAATTTATTATCTTACACTTCTGGAGGTGAGAAGTCCAAAATGAGTTTCACTGGGCCAAGATTAAGGTGTCAGTAAGGCCACAATCACTCCAGAGGCTAGGAGAGAATCAGTTTTATTGCCTTTTCCATCTTCTAGAGGCCACATTCATTCTTTGACTCATGGTTCCCTTCCAGACAGCAATCACAACACACTGAACTCCTCTGTCATCACAACTTTTCTCACTCTGACTTTTCTGCTTTCCTCTTTGATCTGTAAGGACACTGATGACTGCATGGGATTTACCTATACTATTGAGGAGAATCTCCCTATTGAAGACATTTAATTTATTCACATCTGCAAATATTCACAAGTTTTGGGGATTGTGATATGAATATTTGGGGGGGATTATTCTGTCTAGCAAAATAGGAGAAAGTATTCTACAATTTTCTTTTCTTAGAAATATCTAAGATTGGAATTATCTATTCTTTGAATATCTGCTAAAATTTACTAAATTATATGGTACATTTTTGAGTGGCTTAAAAAAAATAGCCCAAAGTGTGTGTGTATGTGTGTGTTTTAAAATAACCACAATAATACTGTTACTAAGAGTAAGATTATTACTTTCCAATAGTTTTTGACCTTAGGATATTGCCCTCTACAGTATATGGTTATATCCTATACCACCAAAATACTGGGCTTAAAAATCTCTTTAAATAATTTTTTATGTAATAATGCCACCAACAAGAGATACAGTTGGATCTTTTTGCTTTTTATATTTCATAATTTATTTTTCATTTTGATTTAATTTTGCTTTTTAATTATGTAAACATTTGCATGCTTCTAAACTATAAAACAAGGTTTATTCAGAGAAGCTTAACTTCCAGAATATCTATTTCTTCTTGACTGTCCAAATTCTCACTTTTTTCTTGCTAACCATATATTCTGGAGAGAACTTCATCACTATATGCAGAGCCCTCCCTAACGACTTTTTATAACTTCATTGTACTCATTGTTTACATGTACCATGGTTCTTGTTTTTGGACATTTGGGTTGTTTTTAGTCTTTGTCTAGTGCCAACAATGTTTCAATAAATAGCTTTATGCATAAGATAATTCATATTTTGTGAGTGTATTTTTAATATAGCTTTCTAGAACTGGGACTGCTGGTCCAAAGAGTAAATAGTTTCCTTGTCATTCACCATCTCCTCACAGAAAAATCTTTTGGTTTATGGCCAGTATGATAGGTTTGAAATGATACTTTTAATTTGTATCTCTAATATTATGAGTGAAACTGAGTGTCTTTCCCTATGTGTAAAGGACATTAACATTTCTTTTTTAGTGAATTACCTAAAATAGATAAAAGTGTGTTATCTACACTTTTCTATAGGGCTACGGGCATTTCTTCTTATTTTTTAGATGTAGCTATCCATCACTTTTGTGACATAAGTTAAAATATTTTAAAATTTGTTAATTATCTTTGACTTTGCTTAAGATGTGGCTTTTTTTTGGTAGGTTTCATTTTGTCATGAAAAGTATCTTTGCTTTTTGTTTATATGAAATCAAATTTATTGTTTTTTTCCCCTTTTCTATTCTGATTTTTGTCATGTTTGGGAAAAGTTTTGTTCACTTCAAAGTTATAGAGAAATTTACACATATTTCCTCTAGTACTTTAATGGTTTTATCATTTAGACAAATATCTTATCCATGTGTTATTTATGTTAGCTTTAGTGTGAGGAATTGATCCAATTTCACATTTTTCAATATAGTTATTTAGTTGTCATAACACCTCTTATTAAGAACTCTGTATTTCTTTGCTGATTTTAGATGTTGTCTTTATCATACACTAAGCTTCCATTTGTACTCAAGTCTATTGCATTTTCTCTCTGCTCACTGATTCACTCATGGACTCATGAGCCAGTATTACACAGCTCTAAGCACAGAACCCTGTAGTCTATGTGGTGTTACATGCTTAGTGTTTAGCAGAGACCGCTCTCGGCTGTCATTGCCTTTCTTTCTGAATGTTTTCCTGGCTCTTCTCTTTTCCTGTTCATCTTAACACACATTATAATCAACTGGCCCAGCTTCAGGAAAAAAATGAAAACCAAATAACCCATGGCATTAGTATTTTACATGTAGTGCATTAAATATAATTAAATGAAAAAATGGCATGTTCATGATGTTGAGTCTCTGTATCCAAGAATATGGTATATGTTGTTATTTTTATATCTACATTTCAATCTCTAAAGAATATTTTATAGATTTCCTCAAATATACTTTGGACACTTCTTGTTATCTATGTTTATAGTTAAAGTGCTGCACATAACATGTCATCAAATTTGGAAAGCTCAGCAGTGGCCACAAGACTGGAAAGGGTCAGTTTTCACTCCAATCCCAAAGAAGGGCAATGCCAAAACGTTCAAGCTACCATACAATTGCCTCATTTCACATGCTAGCAAGGTTATGCTCAAAGTCCTCCAAGCTAGTATTCAGCAGTACATGAACCAAAAACTTCCAGATGTACAAACTGGGTTTAGAAAATGCAGAATAACCAGAGATCAAGTTGCCAACATCTGCTGGATCATAGAGAAAGCAAGGGAATTCCAGAACAACATCTACTTCTGCTTCACTGACTATGCTAAAGCCTTTGACTGTGTGGATCACAACAAACTGGAAAATTCTTAAAGAGATGGGAATACCATACCACCTTACCTCTCTCCTGTGTAACCTGTATGCAGGTCAAGACAGAACTTTACAAGGAACAATGGACTGGTCAAAATTAGGAAAGGAATATGACAAGGCTGTATATTGTCACCCTGCTTATTTAACTTCTATGCAGGGTACATCATGCAAAATGCTGGGTTGGATGAAGCACAGCTGGAATCAAGATTACAGGGAGAAATATCAACAGCATCACGTATACAGATGATAGCACTCTAATAGCAGAAATTTAAGAGGAATTAAAGAGCCTCTTGATGAGGGTGAAAGAGGAGAGTGGAAAATCTGGATTTAAATTCAACATTCAAAAAATGAAGATCATGGCATCTAGTTGCATCACTTCATGGCAGATAGAAGAGGAAAAATTTGAAATAGTGACAGATTTTTTTTTTCTTGGGCTCCAAAAATCACTGCTGATAGTGATTGAAGCCATGAAATTAAAATATGTTCCTTGAAAGAAAAGCTATGACCAACCTAGACAGTGTATTCAAAAGCAGAAACATCACTTTGCTAAAAAGGATCCGTATAGTCAAAGTTATGGTTTTTCCAGTAGTCATGTACAAATGTGAGAGTTGAATCATAAAGAAGGCTGAGCCCTGAAGAATCGATGCTTTTAAAGTGTGGTCTTGAGCTGGCTGCCCAGGGAGAGATGCTCTACCTGGCTACTCGAATCGAACAAGAAAATGTTATCAACCACACGGACGAAGAAGGATTTACCCCTCTGATGTGGACTGCAGCACACGGGCAAATAGCTGTGGTAGAGTTTCTACTTCAGAATGGTGCTGATCCCCAGCTTTTAGGAAAAGGTCGGGAAAGTGCCCTGTCGTTGGCCTGTAGTAAGGGCTACACAGACATCATCAAAATGCTGCTGGATTGTGGAGTTGATGTAAATGAGTATGATTGGAATGGAGGGACACCTTTGCTTTACGCTGTACATGGAAATCATGTGAAATGTGTAAAAATGCTCTTAGAAAATGGAGCGGACCCAACAATTGAAACTGACTCTGGATATAATTCTATGGATCTAGCTGTAGCCCTGGGCTATAGAAGTGTTCAACAGGTTATTGAGTCTCATTTATTGAAACTGCTTCAGAACATCAAGGAGTAGACAGTCGTCAGAAAGTGCCATCTGCCCTTCGGTTTACTTTTGGCCCTTATAAATGATAGTTTTGTTTACTTATAAATTTTTACCTCAGTTGCAATATTTACTGATTTTTAGTAAGTTTTAATAAGTATTCCTCTGAGTCACTGGTTTATAAAAAAGTTAATGTTGATGCTTTTTTAATAAATGTGTTTTACTGCATATTTAAAATTATAAGTGAGTGTTTTGTGGCATGTAAATTTTTATGGTACAGATGGTTATCTGTCTTTGTATCAAGTGCTATAATTTAACATTTTTGGAAATTATTCCTCCCTATTCATCTTCACTCTTGTATTAACTCATTGACTTTATATAGGGTTTGCTATAAATCCATAGAAAAAAAATTTGTTATTATTGAATTTCAAAATGCACAGTGTGATTGTTTACAAAATGATGTTATAAATGAATAAAGTCCTTCTTTGCTGTTAAAAAAAAAAAATAAAGTGTGGTCTTGGAGAAGACTCTTGAGAGTCCCTTGGACAGCAAGGAGATCAAACCAGTCAATCCTAAAGGAAATTAATCCTTAATATTCACTGTAAGGACTGATGCTAAAGATGAAGTTCCAATACTTTGGCCATCTGATGCAAAGAGCCAACTCATTGGAAAAGACTCTGTTGCTGGGAAAGATTGAAGGCAAACGGAGAAGGGGTGGCAGAGGATGAGATGGTTGGATGGCATCAACAACTCAGTGGACATGAATTTGAGCAAACTCCAGGAGATGGTGAAGGACAAGGAAGTCTGGNACTGTCCAAGCAAGAAAATTTGCCTCCCTGAGTCTCAGTTTCCTCATTTGTAAAATGGAAACGTGTCCTAAGCCTGCTGTGAGGATTAAGTGAGAATTTGAATAACACTCTTCACACATGATCTGTGTTGAGTAATTGTTGGCAGGTGCAAATCATTTTGATTTTTGTAAACCTTTCAGAAGCTGGCCATGTATACCCCTTTTAAGGGTATTCTGTAACTTCCTTCAGCAATTCATATCATCATTGACATGTCTGCCATCTTTGACATGCTCAAGTTAGTCATTATCTTGCCCGTGTGCTGATCAGGGGCCTTCAGATCAGTTCAGTCGCTCAGTCGTGTCCGACTCTGCAATCCCATGAACCCCAGCATGCCTGGCTTCCCTGTCTGTCACCAACTCCTGGAGTTTACCCAAACTCATGTCCATTGAGTCAGTGATGCCATCCAACCATCTCATCCTCTGTCATCCCCTTCTCCTCCTGCCCTCAATCTTTCCCAGCATCAGGGTCTTTTCAAATGAGTTATCTCTTTGCATGAAGTGGCCAAAGTACTGGAGTTTCAGTTTCAACATTAGTCCTTCCAATGAGCACCCAGGACTGATCTCCTTTAGGATGGACTGGTTGAATCTCCTTGCAGTCCAAGGGACTCTCAACAGTCTTCTCCAACCCCACAGTTCAAAAGCATTGATTCTTTGGGGCTCAGCTTTCTCTATAGTTCAACTCTCACATCCATGCATAACTACTGGAAAAACCATAGCCTTGACTAGACAGACCTTTGTTGGCAAAGTGATGTCTCTGTTTTTTAATATGCTGTCTAGGTTGGTCATAGCTTTCCTTCCAAGGAGTAAGCGTCTTTTAATTTCATGGCTGCAATCACCATCTGCAGCGATTTTGGAGCCCAGAAACCTAAAGTAAGCCACTATTTCCACTGTTTCCCCATCTATTTGCCATGAAGTGATGGGACCAGATGCCTTGATCTTAGTTTTCTGAATGTTTAGCTTTAAAAAATGAATAGAAACTAAAAAATAATGGAGAAGCTCAATGAAAAGAAAACTTGATATGAAGTTGAAGTAATTAAGATTGTGTGATATTGTCGAAAAAGCAGCCTAATAGATTGATGGAACCAATAGAGAGATCAGAAATAGACTCATGCTCGTAAAACTTGACTTTTAACCAAGGTGCCAAAGCACCTTAACACCTTTAGGAAAGCAGTATCTTCTCAACAAGCAATGCAGGAATAACTGGGTACATAAAAAAACAGTTTTGACTTATAATTCACCCTATAGACAAAAATTAATTTGAAATGAGTCATTTAACTTAAACATTAAAGCTAAAAAATTAAAGCTT